CAGTTTCCAGCTTCTCTTCAGCCTACACTGTTTAATATCTGGAACATCTAATAATTATTATTAATTGCACTTAACTGCAAACTGCAAAATAAATGTGAGGAATGCACAAATTAACTCTGGCACACCTGCAACTAAGCCTCTGCTCTTCACCTGGGTTCAGCTTTAGCATGCAAAGTTTGAAACATCTGGTATATACAGGCTACAACCAAGCCTTGCAAAATCCGTCAACCTGCAAACCTTGGCAACAAAACCAGCCCAAGAGATGTAAGTGGCAATCTGAGAAGATACTCCCTAGGAATTAGATTTTGTAAACAAACATTTCAGCTAATTGCATTCTTGTTCTCAGTGCAATGAAGGCCCCATTTAGCCAAAGCATTTGTCTACAGAGTTTAGTTTCTTCCATCTAATGAACGTTGATCCTGTCTTAGCCTCGGCTGGTATATCATCAGGATCAACATGAAATGCTAATGGAGAGAGATGCTTAATATCATTTCAAGTGTTTAAGTTACAACTGCAGCTATTAAGGCAAATCCATTTTACCTGTTCCTCCTCAGGCTCCCCAGTGAGACAGATTTAAAAGTTTCCATGGGGAGAAGTGATTCATAATGGCTACACAGATGAGAGAAAAAGCCTTTCACCATTAATTACAGCCAGCGTTTTCCAAACCCAAGCCGGTCATTTTGCCAGCACAACACGTAATTAGCAAGGCTCATTTTATTTCGTGGCCTTCACAAATTAGTTAACTTTTTAAAAAGCAAGGTGGCTGCCTCCAGCAGCAGGGATAACCATGCCGACCAAACAGAAAAATAAGGCTTTGTCATCCACTTGTAGTGCACGGCAGAAAAATCCAACAGGTCCCCCAGTTTCCATTCCCCTGACTGGTTCAATGCAGGAATCAGTGCTGCTCCTTGCAGCATTCTGAACATGAGACTATGAGGTGCACCCACTTAAGACAATCACAGCCAGTCATGTGAATGCAGTTCCTGGCAGTCAGAGAAGCTTCCTCTATTTCAAACTTCCCAACTGCTCATTCAAAGTGCAGGAGCTGCAATAGCCAGAGCAGTGAGGAGCAGAAGGATGCTTCCAGCTCTTCCACCTGTAGAGGAACTGCACTGGGTCCAGCCCCAGTGGCATCCAAGGCATCTTCATGGAGTGTGCTTTGGAGACATCACAGTAATAGAAGCACAGGGATGATGCATTGTAAGAGATGCTGGACTCACTCGCTCAGAGAGAACACTCTCAAACACCACCTGCATTTTAAAGCAGGACTGTTTCTTCCTCTGCATGGCTCAGGCTGCCCCTCAACCTCCTTGAGGAGCAACTTCTCCACAGCAGAGGCTTTTGGGGGACGCACCTGCCAAAATCCTATTTTTGAACAAGGCCCCCAAAATAGTGGTTGGAGCCCCGGGTGGCCACTAGTCAGAGCATGCTGCTGGAAGCTATTGTTGAAAATACTAAAGTTATCCTCATGCAGATTTTAAAAGGCCACTATTTATGCATGTAAATTCTGAAGGGCATTAGCAGCATCACTGACACATGCTGACAGCCAGCCCAGCTTTGGGAAGGGAATAAGCAGCAGCGACTGCCTGAATAATTGATGTGCTTTTACTCTGCCCCATGGCCCAGTTATTACATTGCTCACTCTCTTCAACTGCCTGTGGTTTCTAAATTAATTAGAAATCTTAATGTCATGGCCAGCCAGTTTAAAAAAAAAAAAAAAAGACACCGAGAACAAAAGAAGAGAGCGCTTCTCATGCCCTTGAGCCTTGGGATTTCTTCCTTCAGTCTGGCCACACAGGAAGTAAAAGCACAGTCTCAATTCCTGCAGCTTTGGACCCTGCTCACTGATGCTAAGAGCAGCACAGCATGAAATCCACTCCATCTGCAAAAAGCCCCCACTGCATGGGGGTGAGCATCCCCATCAAGGTCACTGCCTCCTAAGGATGGGGCAAAGCCTTTTCTAGGGGCTGGCTCATGTGCAGAGCAGCCACTGTGTCTTCTGCAATGAAATACATCTGATACGTCCCTAGCCCAGCCATTGCAACCAAGTGCCATGCAGCACCAAATAAAAAGACACGGCTGCAGTCTGGAGGAATAAAAGAGCTCGTGGTTGTTCAGCTCACACAGCTGGCAGACTAAATGACTCTGTGGGATCCCGTTCATGGGATGAAAAAAAATTGCGTGTGACTACCTGACCTCACAGGAGATCAAATATAACAACGTGAGTGGCCGTATTTTTGCTGCACATATAGCCTTATCTACTTACACTATTGCTTACGTGAAATTTTAAAACAACACCTATAGATTTCAAGAAATCCAGTGGGAATAATTCCCGTGTTTGAGCCACATTCCAATAGCACGGGTAGTTGTGTTTCAAGGCCTCGGAAAGCACTTAGCCATGATGAATGTGGGCATGTTTTTAATATCTTACTTGCAAAAAGAAACACTGCTCTTTCCAGAAATCTCTTTACAACTGTCCTAAAAGCATAAATAAACAAAAACTGAACTTATAGAGATAATTTTCAATTGCACGGATAACCTAGACTAATATTTCACCTTCTTATAAAAGAGCAGTGAAATAGCAGAGAAACTTAACAGCAAGGTACTGTCTTCCTCTTTGCCAACACATTGTGGCATACTATAAACTGCACTATTATTTCCCTTGGAAAACTCATTATTTTAAAGAAATCCTGGTTTTCAACCTTTCTTTTGGACATGGATAAACAGAGCACTGAACTGTCTGACTCCCAGTAAAGCTATCCTGTATCTCCCATACACGTCAAGTGCCCAAACAGGACAGTCCCACGGCAGAGAAATGAGCTGGTGATGGTGACAGAAAGCATTACAGAGTTTTAAATGACACCATAAATACAAATGGAAGTATTCAACAAAATTAATCCAATTTCTCAGCATGTGGAAGGATTTGACCCCAAATACAGGACAATGTAGTTCTCTGAAAGTTTAACCTACTTTGACTAAGCATTTATTTGCTCCAAGAACTTCTTCTGTCTGCTCTTTTTCCTCTGCTATCATAATTTTGCACTAAATGGATGCATGCAGAGACCACCACGAGAAAAATACACAAGGTTCCACACAAGTTGCAAATGTAGGCCCTTGAAGTGTTTTTCAACATGCTTCTTGAGATGACACTTCCATTTGCATGATGCCTTAAGTTTAGCTTTCATAATTTTTAGATTCTGTACTGCCTTAGTGTGTAACTCGGAACTTCATATAAAGTGTTAGCAAGTTCTCTGCACAGTTTATTTAGACAAAAAAATCCTTTTCCAGCCTGAGAACCAAGGACACCATTGTAGATTCACACCCACAAGTGTAAACAAAGGTGAAGCAATCTAGGAGGATGGAACTTCATAACCTGAAGCTGTAATTGGACAATTAACTCCATTATGTAAACGGACCAAAACTTATAAAAGTGTGAAAACTCGCTAGCAGTCATCCATGTTGCATCCATCCTGAGTAGAGCCGGGGCCAGGCTCTTGTACTGCCCAAGGTGTATCCACTGAAGGCCTTTTAATAAATACCTACATTATTCCTTTAACATTGTCTAGCCTCTGCTCTAGGTAGCCTCTCACAGGCATCATGGAGGGTGGAAAGATGGACTTTCAGAAAATGATAATGCTGATATATGGAGAAAGCAGTATTGTTCCACCCTATGATTTGTCTGTGTTTGTCATCTTGGCCTCATACTGCCTCTAAAATGCACATGCTAATTATCAGCAGTATGGCACTGCAGATGCAGCGAACACAAGATGTCACTCACATGCATTTTTCAAAACCAAGCAATGAAAGGAAGTGTCTCGTAAAAACATGTCACATGTTCATACAGAAAGTTTCCTGACCCCAGCAACATCTGCTGTGTCTCTCCTCATATCCATGTTTTTAAGTCTCACTAGGCTTGGTTTGCTACACTCAGATTTACAGACTTTCACATTATATATTCATTTTGTTCTTGATACTGGTACCTACCGACATATTTTCTTAAAATCCTTATATTAATTACTACAAAAACTTACTGAAAGGCTCAGCTCACGTAGATTGCTCAGCTTAATCCCAGTAATAATCATGCTCGACACAGACTTTAAGACAGAGGTGAGTTCCTGGTCCCTCTTCTGGATCACCATACAGCTGAAGGGATGTACCAGCTGAAGCAGGACCACCACTCATCAGCATGGCCATGCCATGTCCAATTTTCCTCCAGGGAAGATAGAGTGCAAAACTACTCAAGGCCCCGTAGGGCTGCTCACCTCTCAGCCTTGGAAAGAAGGTAGAAGAAAATACAGGAGATGGCAGCAGCACAGAGCAGCACAGCTCTGCTAGCTGCTTTTTGGAGCCTACTCTTTCAAGATGCAGCCCCTGGCAAAGTGTCTCATGAAAGTTTGATGAACAGCATTTTGTTTAACACCAGCAACTGAGCCACAGCCCTGCCGAGCTGCGCTGCACCAACAAAATGTCACGACCCAGGAGGATCAAGAAGCTCGATTGCAAGGGGCAGGCTTGCAGGCAGCAGAGGGGCTCACAACCTCTGGAGCAGGGTGCACCACCCCACGAGCTACTGGGTCACTGAAACATGAGGAGGCTGCTGTAAGGCTGATGATCACTGAGCCTCCTCCGACACTTGCCCAGCAGGCTGCCAGGCTCCACCAGGCAGTCTTGCAAACACAGCGAAGTCTGCAGCCCTCTTCCCATTGGCACATACAAGCCTTGATTATTTTTAAACCTTTTTTACCCTTTTCACTTCTACATGTACTGAAAATATTCACGGTACGCTCTTCCCTACCATTTGCTTCAGCATTTTCATGCTCTGCTGCTTTTGTTCCCCTGTTCCCTTTACATAAAGGAATATTCTCAAGAAACAACTGCACCTGCGTAACTGAAAATACACAAAACCCATATGCAGACACAGCGCTGGATGCAACGTGATCAGATCTAAATATTTTAGCACAGCAAACAAATGAGGCTCAACTGTATGGCCGGGTAATTACCTTTTCTTGTTCTTCAGGTGCGAGAAATCCACACGCTATTTTTTGCAGAGTACTGTATTCAACATTTCTGGAAACAAAGACAAAAAGAAAACAATCAAAAAATGTTTAAAGTTGCCTCTGAGACTTATCAGGCACTCACGAACTTTCTACTATGCGTTTGCCAGAGGATAGAGCAATGAACAACTGATTTTGGTCTACAGAACTGATTTTTGAAAAGTAAGAATTTTTAATGTCTATGAAATATATGTCTGCGTGGGAAGACAGTAGTAACACATACAAAAAGATTGTTAGTGAACATTGAAAAATCAGGGGACAATATCACTGCCAGTAATTTATAAAAACTTCAGAGATTCAAGTAGATATCAAACACACATGCAGGTACATGAGTATCTCTTCCCACAACAGAATCCAATGTAATCTGGAGAAACTAATGTTAAACCAGACAATTTATCAGAGGTTTTTAGAGGTCACTGCACCAGAATAAAAAACATCTAGTTTGAAAAGAAGTTAAAATAAATTATGATTGCAAGGATAGTAATTCCTTTTTCTCGGCAGCTACAACTTAAAATTTCTCTGTCCCTTTAGATCTTCAGTATTTTCTTCTAATTACAGTGTTAGATGCTAAATATAACATTAATTGACAAAACAATGAAATGGATGGATCCAGGTCAGCCTCCTGGAAGTGTTGGTTTTATCAGGATTAATTACACATGAAAAATTGCTCCTCACAGTTGGGATTGCTACAGATGAAACTTCAGTGAGATTCAGTGAGAATCAGTCTTGTCAGAGTCAGGCTAGATGGCACACAACCCCAGGACCTCATCCCATCCCAGTGAAACAATTAGAAAATATAATTAAAAACCCATGCAAGGGAAACAGCAATGAGTCCTCCTGCCTGAATTTTGCTCCCAACATCAACTACAAACCCAGCTCATTTTCTGCAACCTGTAGGGGAGAACACAGGTCAGGTTATCTGAAAGAAGTGTACTGAAATGAAAAAACTTTAAAGGCTGATTAAAGAAGGATCTAGTGTTAAACCATAGCAAATTGTCCCAGTCACAGAAGTGAGTTCCCATGCCTTTCCCAACCAGGGCTGTAGCACAGCCTTCACTCTGCTATCATGGTCCAACACCCTGGACCACCCTACACCTTCGAAAATTTCAGACCAGAAATACTGGTACTGGGGCTCTGGTTTCACATCTGAGGTAATCCAGAACGGTCTTCCTTTAATTTTCAATGGCAAAAAAAAGAAAGCTGCATCCCAGCTCTAAGTACTCCTTAGCAGATCCTCCCCTGAGAGCATGAGAAGAAGGAGGCCGAGGCATTGGTCCCTAACGCATAATTCATCTTATTTATGTACTGAAGAAGCAATTGCTTGCATTCAGTAACCTTGGAAGTCAGACAAGTAAATTAAAACTTAAAACAAGGCTTGAAAGTCCAGCATGCATGCTGGTTTTTGAGTGATTTCTCTATAATAGGCAAGTATGGATGCTCTGGAAGAAAAAGAGACCTATTCCAGCTTGCCTGTCAGCAAAATTGCCTCTGTAAGCAATAAACAGGCTTTGGATCATCTAAGAAATTTACAGGCAAACTCGAGGTAAGGCCAGTTATTATTCCTTACTGCACAAATGAAAAAGTCCCTAGATGTACAGACTATACCTATTTTCAGCCTTGGATTTTGACCAAATATACACAGTTTCAGTAGGAAAAACCACTTTTACAAGTGTACAGCAGACCAGGCACACCTCATAAGGGCATCCATATACTTTATTTCTAGGAAAAAAGCCATTTGTTTAGACTACTCTACTTGCGCTTTATAGCAAAACCTTTACCTGTTTCCAAGAAGCTTTTGGAGAATAATTCTTATTTGGTGGGAGCAGTACAGAGCAAAGAAACTGTAATTTGCCTGGTTTGAAGAAGTTAATGTTTGTTACCCCGTTGCCTTGCAATGGCTTTTGAAATGAAATTAAAACAAGATCTTTGTTACATTTATGGCACCCCGCATTTTACTTCTGCTTGAAGCATAAAGGACTAGAGACAGCACAACACACTGTGGTTTATGGCTCTTCTGTGTCGTTTTAGGATTCAGCACATGCTCTTCTCCCAGCTCACCTTTATTTTATCATAATGTGAGTGTACTGACTGGTAAATTTTTCTTGCCTTCCCTTCCCAAATGCCAAATGTGTAACCTTGAATTGGCCTCTGCCATATGCTATTTCTACGCAGATTCCAACTGCAGATTGGGGAATTCTTGTTCTTATTAAAATAGGAAGGGAACCATACAGGGATTCCTGCAAGAGCAAAGATCTTGCAAAATACTTGTTAGAGAGCTGATGCTCACTGGCAGTGGTGTGCTGCAGGAACTACAGGGATCTGGCATTAGCCCTAAAACAGAGAATAAACACACTAAAGAAAGAGGCATTGCTTTATCTCTGATTCTTATTAATACTCAGAGCAGTGGAGCTCCTGCCCTTTATGCAAGGGATCCTTGTTTTGATCCTCTTTTACTGCTCTCCACATCACCTGACTAACCTGCTTGCCCTCAAACCTACAGGGCTCCTCAGAAAGCATTTGTTGCTTCTTCCCCAGTTCTCCTCTGGTCATACTCTGCCTGGACAATTTGGAAAGTGGTCTCACTCAGGATGCTAAGGAGACAGGAAATCACTTCTCTCCCTTGCTTCATCCCATATTACCTTGGGACCTGTACCTGTCAAGTTTACTGCTAAATGAATAATGGAGATATGTCAACATAGCCTATTTTTACTAACATGGCTGCTGGTGTTCATGTGGCTAAATATTTCTATATCCTCTGCTATGGTGAGTAATGCATGCACCCAAAGAGGACAAGGGCACATTGCTCTGCATTACAAGATACCACAAGAAGGATAATTAATCTGCAAACTGGCATGTACCTCTATCCCAAACCAGAAGCTGCTAATAAGGAGAGCAACAATAAACACTTTATTTGGCAACAGCAAAGGCTAGGAGGAGAATCCATCAAGATGAGATGGCTCACCCTCAAGGATCTGTCTTCACTGCAAAAAGCCAAGCAGCCCAATCTCTGCTGCAAATGCTCACAACAGAGCGACCCACATGAAGTTTCAGGGAACCCGTAGGAGGCTTCTGAAAAAGTCTTGTTTGCTAAAACATACCAAGCACCTTGCTTCTGGCTCTGCAGAAGCAGAGGAGTGAGCAGCCAGCATCAGCGTTGTGGTTTTGGGGATGAAAACCCATATGGAGCAGCACTGCCTTGCTCCTGGGCATCAGCATCTCTGCATCAGCCAAGGAAACCCAATCAGCAACTTTCACCCACGGTGACTTAATTAACAAGCACCCTACAGATTTCTCCAAATTCTCCACACTGACACCCTCCATTACCAAGCTCTTTTGATGAGAGTGATTAAAGCTAGCAATTATAATTTCTTTTAGAGATGCCCCTAGAGGCTTCGGCGAGGCTCAGACTGCATTGTTCACAGAACACAATGCAAAGAAATCTCTCTCCTGAAGAGCTCATCCTCCACAAAGACAAGGCAATCAAGGAATAGCAGAAAGAAAGGCAAGGAGACAAAAATTTTTTGCTCAAGGTCAAAAAGCAAGCCCCTGACAGAGCTAGAACAAAACCTACCTCTTCTGGAGTACTCATGAGGACATGCTGACTCTCCAATACTAAGCTGAACAACTAAAACTCTTTATCACGTGTCAAGAGCAGGTGAAGTAGTTCAGTGTTACTTGCTGTTCTGGTTTTGATGATATCTTTTTGTGGTGGATCTCCAAGAAAAGCTAACCATGACAGTGAAAGGGTTACCTCCCCTACACGTTTCAAAAAAATGCTTCCCATACTTTTTCATGCAGATTACTGACAAATCAATCCCCCTCAAATTTTTTATTCTTCCATCAATGCTCTCAACAAAGAGTGATTGCTCAAGCACCCTTCTCAACCTTGCACTTCCAATTTTTTAAAGAATGGTCAATCTCAATATGCATAATTATAATTGCAAATGGATCGTTTCATCTTGCACTCTTCTGCTTTAATGGGATTATGTACCGTCAAATCTCTACAGTAACATTTAAAGTAAAAATGTCCTACGTCATTCATGTGTGGTTTAGATATTTAAAACATTAATATGTAACCTGTGATATTACGAAAGGTTAGATTTCTAACTACCTGGCTCAGTTATGACACCATAAATCTGATGCAGCCTTCACTGATGACTAGAAAAATCTTTCCAATGCAGTATAACTGTCTTTTGATAGAACTTCTTGACATAAAATTCATCAGCAGGAGAGTGGTTCTGTTGTGCTTTGTACAGGGATAGAACAAAGCACAAGTGTGCAAAGTGAGTGAAGCTTTTAGTCTTTGCAAACAACTTCAGTGCATAAAATATTAAAAGCAATGCTAAACTAATCTCTGGCAAGAAGTGGAGGCAATTCACTACAACTCATATTACAAATGCCTTTGGTTTACCATTTAAAAAACATTAGAGTCTACCATTATGGTTGTGTATCACAGTGCTGTACATTAACCTCTGTAATTTTCCAACATGGTATATTGCAGTAACACAAATTAGGCTATCTGGCAAAAAAAAAGCTTAAAAAGACGCAATATTTAATGAGAACAGACAGGAAAGCTCCTTGCTCCTTCCTGCCAAAGACAGCAGGAGAAAGTCCAGTCCTCTTTTCCTCAAAGCAAATGGTAAAATCCCATTAATTTCCCCTGGAACCGACAGATCCGCAGCATCTGGGAAAGGATTCAGTCTAAATACATCGCAGACATAACAGATGAATGATTTGGGGGAACGGGGTCGCCTGCTCTCATTTTAACACTTCTGTGTAACAGGAATGGAGCAGGTCATTTCTGTAAAGCTTGAAAATGTTTTTTGAGCTTTCAGTAGGATTTTCCCTTCAGCGTTTTTTGCCTTCTGTCTCCATTCTCCTCTTGTTCATACACTTAATGGCTTTCAAATCTGTTGAGTGTACAAGATGCTTAAAGCCTACACTTGATATTTACTGTTGTAGGACCCAAATGGATAAAATATTGTTCTCCTACGATTAATAGGAATACATTTA